CTTCAAACCAGCGCTGAGCACAGCCACAGCTGATCAGGCAACTTCAGGGTATGCAGCGCTCGGAGCACTTGGAATGGACGGCAGTGCCAGCTCACTGGAGCAGGCACACACATGGCCACCCCCAGTGCCCCCCACACCGGGCGACCTGCTCTGGTCTCACCATTGCTGTGTCCTGCCCCCACACCTCCCTCCCTGTAGGGTGGGTGGTAGGTCCCCTCATGTGAGGCACCCGGGCAAAGACCTGCGAACTCTAGCCCTCAGCCTGTCTGCTGGGAGGTGACCCTGGGAACGCCCCTTCCCTGTCTGGCTCGGTTCCCTCTGTGAGTGAACCCCATGAAACAGGTCTGAGGACCGAGGGAGACAACACCCACGTAGTCCTGCCTGTTGGGGAGCATCCCTACTGCCCTGCTGCCCTGCACAGAGGCTCTGGGGGACACCAGGAGGTCTCTCCTCAGGACACAGCCAGCGCTACCTTCCGTGGTGGTGCTCTGGAAGCATCTGCCTCACAGGCCAAGCAATGGGGCCGTACACTGGATCCTCAGGGCAACCACAGGGACGCAGCCCGGGCAGCCTGGCCTTCGGAAGCTCCCGAGTGGGGTGGAGGAGCTGGGTCCCAAGCTGCACCAACCCCCAGCCCAGGCAGTAGAAGTCTCCCAGATGGGTCAGCTCGGGGACCCCAAACCAAACTGACTTCATGGCAACTGTGTCAGCAGGTCCCAGTTCCTGCTCTTGAGTGTGTGTGCTGTAGCCAGGTGTGTGGCAGAGCAGGTAACCAACTGGTCCAGACAGCAGACAGGAAAGCCGGGGGGAAGGGACAGAGCAGGGCCCTGGAGCACAGAGGCTGCCGGAAGCCGGCCCTCGCCAGCCAGCCAGCCACACAGACCCTGGAAGCCCGCATCTCTGCCTGTTGAAACCGAAGCACTGCTGTCATGTTCATTCAAAATACTAGTGTCCGGTCTGCCAAACACCTGCGTTAGGAGCTGACCTGGTGACTGAATTGTCACGCCATTTAGTCTGCCTGTGAGCTGGTGTGTAGAGACCTTGGAAGGTGCCACCTCTCCTGAGGAATGACCATCTGCCAGCACACGAGCAGCAGCTTCAGAAGCACGGGGGCCGAGCCACCTCAATCGCTGCACCAGAAGATGGCCCTGGGCCTGGGACCGCCATCCTGTTCACACAGGTTCCAATTAATTGCCTTGTATGCACCCCATCTCTGTGTGTTTGCCACACGCCTACTGAAAGGAAATAACCCACCGTGTGTGCTTTAAACCATTCTTGAATAAATGACAAGCATCTTTTGCAGAGAGCCTGTGCATACAGCTCAAGAGAAAAGCCCCAGCATCCACAGGTCGGCTCAGTACTCAAGGATGAGGTTCGAATCTCCACAGGCAGCACCTCCCTGGCAGGACAGGAACGAGCATCTCTCAGCTCTGCCAGGGAGACTGCTAATGCTGTGTGCCGACCAGAGGCTCCCATGCTGGACCAGGGGTGCCAGCTGCCCAAGCCGGCTATTCCTCATTACCCAGCGCATCCCAGCCTGTCGCACCCTCAGCATATCCTCAATGATGAGGCTTCTCACTGACGCGTGTGTGTGTCAGGGCCGTCTGCGAGGATCCTGCTTTCTCAGCCCTGTGACTGTCCATCTCCCACAGTAGTCCTTCCGCAAGCCAGAAGACCAGCACTGCTTCTGTGCCTGCATGGACACACAGTACCTCAGCGGTTTTGCCAATCCTTGGTCCCCAACCCTTGAGCCACCTCTACTGGGAAGACCAGCGTCCAGGAGAAGAGACAGGAGCCCCAGAAGACTGGACTCGCCCCTCAGCTAGCAGAGCCAGGTGCTCCATGGTCAGGCGTGCCTGAGAGGGCAGTGCAGGGGTTGGGGTGGCCCCCTCAAAAGGCGTTCACCTGGAATCTGTGAAAGTGACCATATTTAGGAGGGTCTTGGTAGATGTGATCGAGCTGAAATCTAGAGATGAGGTCATCCTGGATTATACCCTGAGTCTAATGACAATTGTGCTTATAAGGGACGAGTGCAGCAATACAGCCACAGCCCAGGAACACCCAGAGCCACGGGACCACAAGAGCAAGGAAGCAGCCTCCCTGGACACCACAGAGGAAGCACAGCCCCAGCCACACCTGTCACAAGTGCGGCCTCCAGAAATGTGCTGTTGTCAGGCCCCAGGTTCATGGTTTGCCACAGCAGCCCGGGAAGCACACAGGCAGCAGCGAGGATCCTGGGGACTGCATGAACTCCTTGCTGCTCCCCTTCAGAACAATCTCTGGCTGTCTTTGTGACCAGAGGAGAGCGCCATGAAAATTCTCACAACTCAGGACAAAAAATCAGGTCTTTGAATAGTCTGCTAATGTATTTGTTTTGCAGGAAGATGACTTTGTTCCTGTTAAGTGTTTTGATGATCTAGTGTAACTAGTAAATGTCATCACATCAGAGTTCAACGCGCACAGCCCATTGGCTCCTCCGTCTCCTGTTCTGACCTCGTCTGCTCACAAAGGACGGGAGCTCATTTCTTAGTGCTGCTGTACAGACGGCAACACACCAAGCACCAGAATGTTATCACCTTGGTGTTCTGGAGGTCACAAGTCCTAAAACCAAGGTGCCGGTAGCTGCAGCCCCAGGGAGAGTTCCCCTTGCCCTTCTACCTCCTAGAGGCCACCTGCACACCTTCCTCAGCCTATGGCCCTTGATCTCCTTCAAACCCTGAAGTCCAGCATCTTCTTCCACCCACGTCCTCTCCCACCTCTGCCTCCTTCAACACAAACACCTCTTCCTGCTCTTGCTTCCCTCTGATAGCAATGGCCCTGGTGGCTGCTCTGGGTCCACCTGCATGGCCCACGAAATCTCCCTCTCAAGAGCCGTATATAAACCCTATGGGCAACACCTGGCCTTTGGCCATGTAAGGCAACCTGTCCACAGGTACTGGGATGAGAATGTGGACGTCCCAGGGGTCCCTATTCTGCCAACCACAATCAGATGAGCCCAGGGCATGACCAACGTGAGTGTCGTGAAGGAAGTCGGGAAGCAGGGAGAGGTGAACCTTCAGTGAGGAGGGAGGGAAGATGAAGCCACTGTTGCTCCTCCCACTTGGCTGTGTGCTGCTCTAACTTGACCGGGACAGTGAGCGCCTAGGCGTGTGGTGAGCTGAAGGAGAGCAGGTGAGTCGGGCAGGCCAGGTGGGCGAAGGCACACACGGGTGCCCCTGGAGGATGAAGACCAGTGGGAGCAACACAGGACAGTCAGTAGAACTAATCCAGGAGACTGGCTTTGCTTCAAGGGCAGGTGGGGGGACAGAGGGAGGCGAGGACAATGAAAGGGGACGGAAGGTGCTGCCATTTCCTGGGCATGTGAGGTGAGGCGGCTTCAGTCCATTTTGGGGGAGTTTGAGGCACCTGCAGAAGTCCTGTGGAGAAACAGGAAGTTGGGTGGTTGGGTGAGTAGAGCTCACTTGGGAGGCTTGTGTGGCCTGCAGTGAACCCAGTACCTTGGTCCAAGACTTAACTGGAGTAAACAGATGGATGAGCACCCAGGGACAGGGAGGACCACGAAAGCCACCTGAGAAGACCCACCCTGAAGGTGCATGGAGTGCTCTAGGTGGCAAGGGGAGGAGGCTCCTTGGTGGTCCTGCCTCCAGCAGGCAGATCAAGCAGACCCCTACTCGATGTTTGTAATTTACAAAAGGTTTTGAGCTGTTTCTTGGAGATCTCTCTGTATCTGCATACTTTCCTCATTCCTTCTAATCAAAGCAGAGCACTCCATCAAATGATGAGCCACATTTATCTAAGTCACTCTTAACATTCATTTTTCTTATTACAAACAATGTAAAAAAAAAAGAAAAATAACCTGTTGTGGTTTAGATAAGAGGTGTCCCCAAAGCTCACCACTTACAAGACAACGCAGGAACATTCAGGGGCAAAATGATCAGAGCTGTGACCTAATCAGTGGAATGACCCAATATGGATTAACTGGGCGTTAACTACAGGTAGGCAGGGTGTTGTTGGAGGAAGTGTGTCACTAGGAGTGTGCCTTTTGGGTTTATATTTTATCCCTGGAGATGTCTGCTTCCTGGCTGCAACTTCCCTCTGCCATATCCTTCCAAAATGATGTTCTACTGTCACCTCGGGCCCAGAGCTACAGCTGGCTGACCGCGGACTAAACCTCAGAAACCATGAGCCAAAATAAACTTTTCCTCTAAGTTGTTCTTGGTAGGTCTTTTGGTCACAGCAACACAAAGCTGCCTAAAAGAATCTGCCTATTCCTCTATGAGGTTATCTTGGATTTTCAGACTCCAGAACTGAGAAAATTAGTTTCTCATGTTTAAACTACCTAGCTTGTGCTGTTACAATATCCTTCAATCTAAGCAGACCCAGAATCACTAGGAAGCAAATCAATCATGCAGATTCTCAGCTCCATCCTAGAGCCTGTCTCTCGACAGGTCTGAACTGAAACTCTGCCCTTGTAACAAGCCAGTCTGGTCAGCTGGAGATGCACCATAGTAAGGCCGCAGTTCTCAAGGCCCAATCCAACTAAATCAGAAGCTGCAGTTCAGCAAAACTCTGTGATCCCTGAGCACACTGGAAGCCACACTGCAAGGCCCTGCAGGGCATTCCCCACAGTGTCAATAAATCTGTACTCTTTAGTGTCACAACCTCTATAAAGGAGATTGTAGGGGAAAAAAACCAGAATTTTGTATTTCACATTAGCTTTTTCTGCCTAAATAACAGATTGTTTTATGAATATTACTAATAGTTTAGAGGAGTAATAATTGACGATTTATAAGATATGCCATTCTACCTTGTACAAAGCTATAAAATAATTACATGAAATGAGCTAACGACTCAACTTTATTCTATGCATTTGTCTAACTGAAATCCATGAAAACAGTTACACACTGTCTATGTACATCTGAAAGTGTAAAATTTTTTTAGCTTTTTGATACCATAATAAAATGAAACAGAAAAGAGTCCATAAAAAGGAAAATAGCAAGTAGAATTTTTTGAACTTTTAATTTACTGATCACACTTAACATTTCCAGGATTCCCCCTGGGCCCTTTGCCCACTGAGAGAATGAAAGGAATCACTCTGAGGATGTGGGACCACAGTCAAGGGCTACAGAGACAGAGGGGCTCCGCTCCACTTCTCGTCCAGCCCCAGAATCCCACGAGGTCTACCGACAGGGACAGCAGGGGTGGGGACAGGTCCAGGGCCAGTCCACACTGGCAGGAAGGCACCATCAGTGCGGACAGTCATGGCCTCCTGCTGGCTTGGTCCTGGTCCGTCAAGGACTTGGGGTCTTCGCAGGTTTAGGAAGGCGGGTGATCCTCACCCCGGATGCTTCGGTACTTAGCCATATCTTCTGGAAACACTTTAGAAAGTTCTTGAATCAGCAGGCTTTTAAATTTCTATGAAGAAAAATACTGTCAAAAAATCTGCCCTATCATCCAAGTTAAAGGTCACACGATCCCCTATGATCCCTCAAATTCAACTGGGTCCCCAGAAGAGTGGGAACAGGGCTTCCTCCATTCAAGTGGGTGGTCCCTGCACACGTGCTCACCTTCCATGAACACAATTCCTGGAGAGCCCACCACAAGAGTGTCTGCAGCCATGCTGAAGGCACACTTCACCTCCCTGAAAAGGTAACGCCCCTTTAAAACAACTCCTCACTTCATGCCCAAAGAAAGGAAAAAGTACTTCTCAGCAGGAGCCAGACACACAGGCGGAAATGTCCTCTGTAGACAGCAAGGTAACAGGGATTTAAAATAATATTTAATTAAGCAATTACTTACTAGAATCACATCAAACTCACTGTGTGCAAACAGCTCCAAGAGAAGCTTTCAGAGCACCAGAAAATACATTATCTATGCAAGCCCCACGGCTTTCTGAGCCTACGTTATCAGCGTAACATTTGCTTTTAAACCCAAAACTAAAAGCAATTAAATCTGCCAGTATCTCAAGACCTTTATTCTTAGGAGCTATACCAAAAAGGGGCATGAACACATTGCCATTTAAAAATAAATTTTTAAAGGAGCTCTTCATTTCAACATAGAATACTTACTAAGAATCCTCTGAACCACAGAATCATAAACTCAGGAAGTGTATCAACAGCTGGGATCCAAACAAAAAAACAACAGAAAGCATCCATGTCACCCAAGTACAATACTTATCATAGTGTTGAAATGAAGAGCTAAACTATTTTAAAATACAACTTATTTTAAGTTTAAATACATATTCCACTGGAGAAGTAAAAGCCACAGAACTGTGACCTGAGACCTTCACAGATCTGAGAGCTGACAATGAGCAGAGATGCAAGGGAGAGGTAAACCACTCGGCCTCGTGTGTCACTGACATCAGCAAGTCCTTCAGGGCCCCGAGGCAGAGTTTAACAAGTGCCCAATGGGGCTGGGAGCACGGAGCCCATGGACCAGCCACTGTGCTCTCAAAAGTGACTTCTGATGGTCGGTAAAACTCATTCACCCTTGCTCAGGGGAATAGCACCATCGAGCCATCACAACTTGCTACTGATAGAAAGCTGAACCATATCTGGAAGGAAGCACAAAGTTCAATAGCTCCCCAATCCCAAAGGACAAGATGGAGGAAGCTGTGGGCTCCAAACTAACATCTGCCTCCAGGGCCATTTCCCACCTGTGGGATGACTGGACCAAGCCCTGGGAAGCTCGACAACCAGGCAGAGGTGCTGACACAAGTATCCTGACAGAGCCCTTCCCCTCACTCCTTCCACCCAGCCAGAGCCACATGGGCACAATAAGCCCCTCTGACCCACCAGCCTGCACACATCAGACACACCAGGTGACACCAGGTGAGCCAGGGTGGCACCAGGTGGGCACTGGGCAACACCAGAAAGAGAACATACATGTCCTACAGTCCCGGAGCTTAACCAGCAGGCAGAAGAAAGAAAATAGAAGAAATAAAATGCAAACTCAACAGCACTCTCGGGTAAGAAATTTTAGAGAAAAGCCTCTCACAGAAGATGAAATGAGCCGAGGTCAGGAGAGTCCCTTGTGCAAAAAGAGCTCGAGAGAATTTCAGCCAAGGAAGCAGCTGGAGGAAAGAGGACAGGGGAAAGCAGTGTGGGGGCCAGCATGCAGACCAGGCAGGGCACTGGGGGCCAAGGACAGGAGGCCACTGCAATCCAAACGCAGATTTAAACACCAACTGAGCTATATTTCATGTTCAAGATGCAGTGGTCTCCAGATGCCGTCAAGACAAATAAAATCTAAGTTCTCCACAGAAACGTAAGGAACAGTAAGAAGGATTTGGAGGTTGGGAGCTGGAGACAATCGCACGAGAAAGGTAAGAAAATATTCAAGAGTCCTCTGAACCACAGAATCATAAACTCAAGAAATGTATCAACAGCTGGGATCCAAATGGAAAAACAACAGAAAGCATCCGTATCACCCAAGTGCAAACCTGGCATACTGAACAAACTGACCTGTTCTTTCTTAAATGCAGACTACAATTTGGTTTTGTAAATTTTGTTGCTACCACACCGCTCACTGATATTTAACTTAACTACCTATCATAGCATCTTAACGGTAATGCCACGAACAGCTGCTGTTCTACCGAGCATGGAAAAGGACAAGCCTACCAGCCAGACTTGCTACATACCTCTTTCCAAAGTATGCCCTGGCATTTTCTGCTCTTCATGCCAGTCTTACCTTCATTGTGTCAATCTTGCCTTTAACTTGCTCATTTTTGGCTAAAGCCCTCTCCAGGCACTCTTTGGTGTAGAGTTGGGGGTTTCGACCTTGATCTATGTATCTGGAAACAGGGAATATCTCAGTTAGCATTCAGATGGTGACACCTACTCTCAGTTTTCTGGGGACTATGGAAAAAAAAAGTTCACTACGTATCTTATGTATGTCTTCCTATGGCTCTGCTTAGACAAAACTGAGGAGTCAAGGAAGCAGGTGAATTAAGATTTTCTCATTTCCATAGCATCTCATATTATTTCTTATAACAGCTTAGGAAATCAAGCAATGCTCTTTATAAACACAGGAAAGCTGCATAAGCCATCCCCACTTCACATCTGTTTAGCATTTGTATTATTCAAAATACTTTCATGCTATTTGCTTTTTGATTCCACAACAGCCTGAGGTAAGAAAGGCTCTTTCTTCTTTCTTTGGGATTGAATCCAAGGGCATTCTGCCTCTGCTCCACTCCCAGCCCTTTTTAAAAATTTTATCTCAAATGGCAAAACAGAAATGACAAGTTCTGGAAACCTCATTTTACTGTGATGTTTTTGAAAAGATGTAATGAAAGAAGGATAATTCATTTAGAATTGCAGTTAATATCCATCCATTTCTCAAGGAAAAAAAAAAAAAACAACAAAAAACAGGAAGCCTTGACAGGATTCCACAGAACAGGGCTGATCATTCTACATGTCCTAAATAAACAGCCATCACATCAACAGCAAGGCCCTACTCAGGCTGGGCTCTTCTAAGACCCAAGAGATGAATCCCACTTCTGCCATTTTGGGTTAAACATGAGGTGTCCCCCAAAAGCTCACATGTGAGACAACACAAGGAGTTTACAAATTAACTAACTGGATTATGAGAGCCTTAACCTAACCCATGCATCAATCCACTTGAGTGGATTAACTGCGGTGACTAGGGAGGCGGGGTGTGGCTGGGGAAGTGGGTCACTGAAGGAGTGCCTGACGTGCCTCTGGGGTATATATTTTGTTACAGGGAGCCAAGCTTAGTCTCTCTCTTCTTCCTGGTATCATGTCCTGAGCTACTTTCTTCCTCCATGTCCTTCCACCACAATGTTTTGCCTCCCCTTGGGCCCACAGCTATGGAGTCTGCCATCTGTGAACTAAGATCTCTAAAATTGTGAGCCCCAAATACACTTTTCCTCCTCTAAAATTGTTCTTGTCAAGTCCTTGGCCACAGCAGTGAAAAGCTGACTAAAACACCTGCCAACACACAATCTCAAGGTTCCGTGTAGGAAAGGTCATTCTACCTTTGCTACGGTCCGTCCATGTGTGTCCTAAAGAACACTCCTTGGGCCTGAACTCCTCCTACACTGTGCACACCTCAACTTCCAGCATCTGCTACCGAGAGCCACAGGCTGTCCACCCTCTTCTTGAGACCCCAGGTCAATCTCTTCAGGCCCTCTGCCCTTAAGTAATCTTGTCTCCTCTACCCTCCTTTCATCAGAAGACCAGTCATCACTGGCATTTGTCACTATACCCATCCCAAGCATTCAGGGCTAGAGCAACACTGAGAAGGAGGCTTCAATTAGCAGAGTTCACAAGCAGGAAGCCACTGCCCAGGAGTCCAGAGCAGCACCACGCACAAGCCCTTCAATCCACCTGAAGGCATAGGCCTCAGTGGTGCTGAGGACAGGTAGACTGCACATGGCACCTGGTTGGCAGCTAAAGGATGGAAGGGAGGCCACAACACTCAGCCTCTATGTCCTGTCTGTGTAGGCAGCTACTGAGTGGCATTCTAACTAGAACTTTTATCTCCGACCTTTCTGGATATAAAACAACCATAATGTTCCCTTTATTGTTCAAGGATATCAAATGTAAGTTTTGCTACAAAAAGTACAAGAATTCTTATTCCAAAGCAGCACAGGGAGGGAAAAGCTACACTGCATAGAGAAAATGATACTAGTGTGGAGGCGCAGGCCTGGGATTTAGTCTTAACTGAGACCTTCACTAGCTACACAACCTATTACAGTTACTTATCAGTTCTTGTGAGGATAAAATCAGGGCTGTGACAAGCCAGTGTGATAAAACCTGAATTAAAATCCTAAGCAATTTATGTACTGAAGGCATCCTCCAAGCCACCGCTGTGACAGGTGCTCATCTCCAGCAGCAACCAGCGAATACCTTTCCCACAGAACCTGGACTGAGACCTTTACCTTCTTCCCAACAGAGGAGGTATCACCATCTCCCAGAACCAGCACAGCACAGGCGGTTTAGGAAAACCAGATCACACTATTTTTCATGCAGTTTCTAGCTGTAATTTTTTTCCTCCTAATTCATAACGTAGCCCACATAAGACATTAAGTTATGGGTTGTTCTTTAGCCTAAACTTTTTAGCAGAGGACTTGGAAGTCTACAATGCCTTTCACATATTCAGTAACCTTTTATTTTTGTGTAGTACTTTTTTCAACAAGAACTTTTTTTTTAAATTTCTAAATCCCATTAGTATATCAAGCTCTAGGCTCTTTCAACAGCAAATGCCCATGCACTAAACTGCTGCAAGCTCAAGTCCTCAGTGTCACAACTCAACAAGATCCCTACCCAACATTAACACGAGGAATGATACTTACTCAAAAACTTCTAAAGGTACAGTAATGTCGTGAAGCTGCTGCCTGCACTTATCTATATCCTGTAGGCCGGTAACAATGAAATTCCTGGGGGTAGGTAAAAACGGGGCGTTAGTTTAACTCAGAGGAGGCCTAGGCACCACCCACCGGGCCGCCGGGCCGCTTCCCGCATCTGCAGGGTCCCACGTGGATCAGGCCCCCTGAGACCCCTCCGGAGTCATAAACACCCTCCGACACTCCCGGGCTTCCCACTGCACAAGAACCCGGCGACGCAGGGGGCGGGGAGAAAACCAGCCTCGCCCGAGAAACCACCGTCCACCAAACCGTGCGGACGGCCCGGCCGGAGGGAGAGGGGCCCGACCCTGCCCGACGCCGGGGCGGCGGGTCGCCGCAGCCGCCTGCCCGGCCGGGGAGGCCCCCCGCCCCGCGCCCCGAGGCCAGCAGCCCCCCGCGGGGTGGAGCAAGCGCAGCGCCGTCGGGGGCGCCCGGGGGCAGAGCCGGACCCGCCCCCGCCGCACGGCCCCCGAGGGCCCGCGGCCACGCCGCCCGCCACTCACAGCTTCTGGTGGAGCCCGGCCTGGCTGCTCGGCTGGAAGTCGCTGACGATGATGCCGAGCTGCCGAATGTTCTCCACGAACTTCTCCAGGTGCTCTTCCAGGTGGTCGAACTTCTCCGCCATCGGCCCGGCCGGACCGCGCCGCCGCAGCCCCCGCCCGCTCCGCGGTGTGCGCGGCGCGGCTCCCCCACTTCCTGCTTCCGCCCGGGCCGCCACCACTTCCGTTTCCTCTGGGGCTGGAGGAAGGGAGAGGAGGCGGGGCCTAGGGGGCGGGGCCTCAGCTGGGCAGTGACTCTAGACTGCAAAGCTGCCCAAGTGGGCTGCACCTCTAGGTATGGGTCCTGAGTACCACTGAGCCCTCGGGTTTGCAAAGATGGAGGGTACCTGAAAATACTAACGTAGGCTTCACGTCAAAGACTGATTTTAAAGAAGAGAAGTCATACATACCAGGTATTAATGGAAAGCTCTGCAAAGGTAAAGATAGATACTAATGGAAATGAAAACCATTCCATTAGTTCTCTTTCTAGTTGTATCAGAAGCTAGAAAGATGAACAGTAAAGCAAAGTGACAGTCCAAAAGACGAAACAAAGAGACATGCTTTTGGCAAGCCTCCTGGGGAAAGGAGAGAGAAAAGAAAAACTGTATCCATGAGTGAAGGACATAATGTAGTTACAGTGAAACCTGATAGTTCCTAACTTTGGAAGATTACAGGATGTGGACTATTTTCTAAGAAAGTCCCAAGTTTACTGAAAGAAAGTAAACTTAGAAAATTAGAATAGATCCCAACCTTTCCATAAACTTGTCAGTGGAAAATAAAGAAAAAGCATAAAATCTGATACCTGGTAGTTTCTTACACAGGTTTAAAAAAAATAAATAAACAACAAATAACTTCAAACTTACCCAGATATTTTCATACTACAAAAAGAAGAATCACCACCAAGCTCATTTTTAAAGGGTAGCATGGTTTTGATGTGAAAATAGACTTTGAGGACAAGAAAATAAAACCTTCCTTATGAAGGTAGAGGCAAAACTCTTAAATAAAATCTTACTGAGTGGAATCAATTATCATGTATCAGCTATGTATTGCTGCATAACAAATATCTCCAAATCTTTGTGTTAAAACAAATTCACTTTTATTTTACTCACAAGCCTGTGATGTGAGCTAAGTATGGCGTTCACAGCAAACCTCTACTAGTCACTTTAGCTGAAGCACTTCACTGTGGGCTGGAGGATGTGCCTTCAGGATCCTTCCTTCACACATGGCCACATTGATACTGAATGTCCTGGCAGCACGGTTGGACCATGGGCTGGACCACAGTTCCCCACCAGGCAGGTGTTGCAGTTGGGTTTGGGCTTCCTCTCCTGGTTGTGGTTGGGCACCGAGAGCAGAAGCAGTCTCTCCCTTACAATCTGACCTTGGGAGATCCCCACGTCTGTGGCACATTTAGAATCTCTGGGAGGGAACATCAACCCAACCGCCAACCCAGTGGAAGAAGTAGGAAGTCGTGCTTTGGAAGAGATCTTGTTGAAGCCCCTTTGGAAAATACTGCTTGCCACTCATCACATTGAAAAAAAAGTTACGATCCATTGGGATTCTCCTAGGATTGCATGAATGATTAAATATCATTCAGTCTATTCATATAACTAAGCCTATTAAGGATTAAAGGAGAAAAAACATCTTAAGTAGGTTTTTTAAATAGACATTTGATAAAATTAAACTATATTCATTTTTCATAGAAGAAATCTCTGAGAAAACTAAGAATAGAAAGGAACTTTATGAACCTGATAAAGGATAGCTATAAAAACTTCCAGAATTCATGGCGCTCAATAATGAAACTTGAGAAACACTGACACTGAAGTCATGAATGCAGCCAGAGTACTCCTGTCACCTCGGCCATCCGACACTGCAGAGAGGACACGGCCAGCACAGAGGGCCAGCAGAGGCAGCGTTTGGCTGAGATCCTTGTCTGCCCTGCTGTCCACCTCTTTTTAGCACTGAGCCCCTGTGTGACTCCTGGGATGTCACTAAATCCCCGGGTGGTTCACCCCACCTTGGAATGGCTTAGGTGTGGCTTGTGCCCGAGGTCCCCTAGGGTGGTGGGAGCTCTAGGAGATGGGCCTGGGGGAGTGGGGGGCAGTTAGTTCCCAGGGGACCCCAGACAGATTCACGCTGTCTCCAGGGAATAGATCAGGTCCAGGAAGAGTGCAGATGTTCCTGAAGGCAGGTTCCTTAAAAGAGCAAGCCCAGCCTCACCCAGGTTCCTGGCTTCCTGTCTCACCTGGCTTTCTCTCTCCTTTCTGCACACAATCAGTTCCCTTTCTGCTTCTCTACCTTGTTGTGATCTTACCAACATGCCAGTGTCTTGGTGTTTGGCCCTTCCAACCATGAGAATTATGAGCCAAAAAAAAAAAAAAAAACTTTAGTTTATAAGTCACTCAGCCTCAGGTATTTGGTTATGGCATCAGAAGTTTCCCAGCTATATTTTAAGCATTTTGAGAACAATAATAATCTTACCCATCCCTAGAGTGCAAAACATATATGAACTAGTGAAATAAACAGCTTTTGGTTATCTGGAGGTTAAGGAAAAGGGAGATAGGAAGCAGCAAAAATAAACCAAAGACTGTCTGTTTGCCTTCTATAGATATACCTCCCTGGGAAATCATTTTTTTCTGTGGATTGAGGCTTGGCAGCTGCATGACTCCCAAATAACTTAGAAAAATGGGTGTTTCTACAGTTTTATCTTTTGACGCTATCTGTCATGTTGCTGTCTTGTTTATTCTCAACTCCTAGTAGGTCATTTCTACAGCCTCCAGTAGTGTACACACAGTAGGTGACAGGCTGAGATTCTCAGAGCAGCTTTGGCAAAAGGAACATCACACAGAGGTGTTGGACACAGCTGCCTTCCCCTCCCTCTGCTGCCCGTCTGGTCCGTCTCCTGGTGCCTGTCACTAAGGTGCCCCTGAGTCAGCTCCCTGGGGCTCTCTGACGGGAGGGCTTGCACACAGAAATCCTCTCTCACCCAGTTCTGCAGGTGGGAAGTCTGAGGTTAGTTTCTTCTTCAACCTGGAGGCTCTGCCCCTGCCTCTCTGCCAGCTCCTGTGTTTGCTTCTCTCCTGGGGACGGCGTGACTTGAAGAAAGAGCACTCAACCTCTCCTTCCATACTGTTATGCTGTTCTTTGTTGTACATCGGGGTCCTGATTTTCCTGTTTATAAGGAACACATCATTCTGGATTAGAGCCCAGCCTCATATTGCCATTTTAACAGGACTATCTCCAGAAAGCCGCTCTCTCCAAAAAAGGTCACATTCCAACGTACTGGGGTTAGGACTCCAACTTCTCCTTTGAGGAGGACACATCTCAACCCAACCGCCCTTCCTCTTCTGTTCAGGAGCACTGGCACAGGCTTCTGGCCGTGACCACACAATGGTGAGGGCAGGGTCAGGCCATTGGTCCCTACATTTTTGTGATTCCTGATTATCAGGTCCAATTTTCTTTTTTCTTTTTATTTGTTTTTATTTATTTATTTATTTATTTTTAGATACAAATGACAGTAGAGTGTATTTTGACATATTATACACGCATGGGGTATAATTCATTCTAATTAGATCCCATTCTTGTGGTTGAACATGATGTGAAATTGCACTGGTCATATATTCGTATATGACCACAGGAAAGTGATGTCTGATTCATTCTACTGTCTTTCCTATTCCCATCTCTCCTCCCTTCCCTTCATTCCCTTTTGTCTAATCCACTAAACTTCTAAAACCCGCCCCTTTACTTTGTGTTAGCATACATACATCAGAGAGAACATTCAGCCTTTGGATTTTTGGGATTGGGTTATTTCACTTAGTTTTTTGGGATTGGCTTATTTCACTTAGTCTCCAGTTCCATCCATTTACTGGCAAATGCCATAATTTCATTATTCTTTATGGCTGAGTAATATCCACATTTTCTTTATGCATTCATTTGTTGAAGCTCACCTAGGTTGGTTCCATAGCAGTTCCAATTTTCATTTCTATGAACTAGTTCCCTCTCTTTTCCTTCTATTGACAGTGGCTAGAGAAAGAACAGAAATATGAGGTTTAAAAGTCTGAGTGTTAAAAGCAGCCCAAATAGAGCCCCCCTGAGGCCCTCTGAGGAGAGATGCAGGAGTTTCAATGCATTTCTAAAGCACTTATCTCCCAGTTGTCCAAATTATGGCCCCAGTGACTATTGTTCTTTGCAGAAACCAAAAACATTCCAAAGCCATTTAAATCTTCGTTGAAATTCTCCCTTTTGGTCCTTACACAGCAAAGTGGTGATAGCCTTCCTTTTACTTAGTACCCTACATACTGTTGATTTGTTTACAGGGAACATTTTAAAATTTGAACACTCCAGGCTTCAAATGTAGATGAAATTAGGCTGGAAAATCCCAGCAAGTCAGAGGTTTGCGGAAAGCTGCAGAACCGTGCTGACCTAAGCCCTCGCCACCCTGCGCCCTCTGAAGTCCACGCAGCTGTCCCTGGGAAGTTTCCTCCCTCTAACGCTTGGTGACCTTGGAGGCTGAAGGTGGTTTTTTCTTTCTTTTCTTTTCTGTTCAGTTAGTATTGCTCCATCAGCACTCAGAGCTCTTGGGGGTGCCATTGGGAACATCCTTGCCATTTGTTCTAATTTATCCCAAGCACCAGACTCAATGAAGTACTTTTTTAATGCAGCTCTCCTTATCCTACCAAGAGGGAGAAACAGCTGGCTTCTGCTTTGTGCTTTGTGGATTTTCAGCACGTCTGCAGTTCTAGCAGAGGGAAGGTTGGCAGGGCTGTTGCATGATGGTGATGATGATGGTGATGATGATGATAGGATCGTAGAAATGACAATGGGTGACATTTTCTGGCATATTATATAAATTATCTCATTTACTCTTCACAACTCTAAGTGGAAGCTACTATAATTTACACCATATATGGTCAAATATAAGCCAAAATTTTTCCGAAGTACAGAATCAGAAGGCAGAATAATTCCAGCTGGGAGAGGAAGAGAATATTTGTTTTTCCCCAGGAGCCACATCAACTCTCAATGTTCAAGTAAATTTGGTTTCCTGGTCATTCTACCAGGCTCACGTGTCCAGGAGACCCCATGCCTTGTGTGCAAACAAAATAAAATATACATTGTATTATGTTCCTATACTAGCAAGCATTGAGAAAGAGGAAGATTTCTCCTTTTATTTTTTTATA